TGGGTTAGATTATCAGTTCTGAGAGGGAAAAGTTAAAATATCCCACTATTATAATACTACCACCTATTTCCATGTGTAATTCATTTAACATTTCTTTTAAAAACTTGGATGTTATAACATTTGATGCATATAGGTTCAATATTGATATTGCTTTGCTATTCATATCAAAATGTAGCTACCCTGTTTATCTCTTTCAATTAAGTCTATATTAGCAATAACTTTTTTTCTGAGATCATGATTGCGTCTACTGAAGCATACTAAATTCTTCTCTAACTCTCTATTTTAACAGTGTGTGTATCTCTCATTCTTAAATGTGTTTCATGTAAACAACATATTATGGATTTTGACTTTTACTCTATTCTACTATCTGTTCCCATTTTATGGGAGAATTCATCCCATTCACATGCAAAGTTATAATTACTATTTGGAAATGTCCCTGTTAACTTATCTTCTCTTCTTACCCTCCTGTTCTATATTCTACTCACTCCTCTAAGAGTCTCTCTCTTATCCTCTCCCCAACTTCACACACTCTTTTCCCCCCAAGACTTTTAAATCTTAATCAACACACCCTTCTAAAAGTTCCTCCCCAATCCCTCATCTTCTCTCCCTTATACAAATCCAGAAGACTTTTCATCCCACCAGATGTAAATAGTTTCCTCTTCAACCAAGATCTGAAAAAAGTAAGATTCCAACATTACCAGTCCTCCACCTCCATCTGCTTCTTCTTGTATCAGTTCTTCCTTTTATGTCCCATTGGTTTTTTTTACTTTCTTTAACCTTTAAATGCTTTTTTATTTGCTTCTTTTCTTTTTTTTTAATATAAATTTGTTTTTACTTTTCAACATTCGGTTCCACAAGTTTTTGAGTTCCAAATTTTCACCCCATCTCCCCCCTCCCTCCACCCCAAGATGGCATGCATTCTGATTATACCTTCCCTAGTCTGTCCTCTCTTCTGTCTCTCTTCCCTTCTCTTATCATCTTCCCCTTCTATTTTCCTGCAGGGCAGGATACATTTCTGTACCCCATTTCCTATATTTCTTATTTCCCAGTAGCATGTGAAAACATTTTTTTTAAACTTATATTTTTAAAACTTTGGGTTTCAAATTTTCTCTCTTCCACCCTCCCCACCCACCCTCATTGAAAAGGCAAGCAAATCAGTATAGCTTCTACATGTGCAGTTATGCAAAACACGTCCATAGTAGACATGTTGTGAAAAACTAACTCTATATCCCTTAATCCTATCCTGCCCTCCCATTTATTCTATTCTTTCTTTTGACCCTTTCCCTCCTCAAAAGTGTTTACTTCTGATTACACCCTTTCCCAATCTGCCCTCCTCTCTATTATCCCCATGCTCTCTTGTCCCCTTCTCCCCCTATTTTCCTGTAGGGTGAGACAAATCTCCATACCCAATTGAATGTGTATGTTATTCCCTACTTAAGCCAAATCCTATGAAAGTAAAATTCACTCATTCCCTCTCACCTTCCCCCATTTTCCTTTCTGCTGTAAGAGACTCTTAATTTCTGTTTTATTTTGTGTGAGATAATTTACCCCATTCTACCTCTCCCTTTCTTCTTCTCTGAGTATCATCCGCTCTCATCCCTTAATTTTGTTGTCCAGATATGACCCCTTAATCTTCAGCTCACCTTGTGCCCTCTATCTGTCTACACATACATACATATAATTTTTTTCCTCCAACTGCCTGGACACCAACAAAGGTCTCATGAGTTATAAATATCATCTTTCCATGCAGGAATGTAAACAGTTCAATCTTAATAAGTCTCTTATGATTTCTCTTTCCTGTTTACCTCTTCATGTTCCACTGCAGTCCTGTATTTGAAAGTCAAATTTTCTATTCAGCTCTGGTCTTTTCATCAGGAATGCATGAAAGTCCTCTTTTTCACTGAATGACCATTTTTTCCCCTGAATGATTATACTCAGTTTTGCTGGGTAGGTCATTCTTGGTTGTAATCCTGTTTCCTTTGCCCTGCAGAATATTATATTTCATGCCCTGCGTTCTTTAATGTAGAAGACGCTAAATCTTGTGTTAGTCTGATTGTGTTTCCACAGTACTTGAACTGTTTCCTTCTGGCAACTTGTAATATTTTCTCCTTGACCTAGGAACTCTGGAATTTGGCTATAATATTCCTAGGAGTTTTCCTTTCAGGATCTCTTTCAGGAGGAGATCTCTGGATTCTTTCAATTTCTATTTTGCCCTCTGGGTTCTACTATATCAGGGCAGTTTTCCTTGATAATTTCTTGAAAGATGATGTCTAGGCTCTTTTTTTGATCATGGCTTTCAGACAGTACAACAATTTTTAAATTCTCTCTCCTGGATATATTTTCCAGTTCAGTTGTTTTTCCAATGAGATATTTCAAATTGTTTTCTACTTTTTCATTCTTTTGAATTTGTTATACTGTGTCGTGATTTCTCACAAAGTCACTATCTTCCAATTGCTCTATTCTAATTTTTAAGGAAGCATTTTCTTCAGTAAGCTTTTGGACTTCCTTTTCCATTTGGACAATATTTTTAAGGGCATTGTTCTCCTCGTTGGCTTTTTGGACCTCTTTTGCCATTTGGGTTAGGCTATTTTTTAAGGTGTCATTTTCTTCACTATTTTTTTGGGTCTCCTTTAGCAAGCTGTTGACTTGTTTTCCATGATTTTCTTGTATCACTCTCAGTTGTTCCTCTACTTCCCTTACTTGCTTCTGAAAATCTCTTTTGAGCCTCTTCCAAGGCCTAGGACTGATTCATATTTTTCTTGGAGGCTTTGTATGTAGGAGCTTTGACTTTGTTGTCTTCTTCTGGTTGTATATTTTGACCTTCTTTTTCACCAAAGTAAGATAATGTAGTCTGACTCTTTTTGTGCTGCTTGCTCATGAACCCAGCCAAATACTTGAGCTTTAAACTCTTTGTTAAGGTACAAATCTGATTCTAATGTGGAGAATGTACTGTCCCAAGCTTTAGGGGGTTTGTACATCTGTTTTCAGAGATACTTCTAGGGATATGTAAATTTTCAGTTCTTCCAAGGTGGTATGAAAAGGGGCGAGGTGTTTGCTCCTTTCCTGCCCTGCAACTACAAGTACTCCTTTCTGTCCTGTAAATACAAGTACTCCTTTCTGTCCTGTAAATACAAGTACTCCTTTCTGTCCTGTAACTGTGAGGAGGTGTTGCTCTCCACAGCCACTACAATCCACCAAGCCAGCGCTCCTCCTCAACCCAGCACAGCCGCCTGGAACTGTGGCCCAGATCCAAACACAGGTAAAGCAAGAGATTACTGACTCAGCACTGGCAAACAGATCCCTGCAATCCCTCTCTGATCAGCCACTAGATTCCCCCTCAGTCTGTCAGCCAGAACCTTGGAAAGCAACTGCCCTCCCCCCAGGAACATGCTCTTGGGGAATGGAGCTGAAACCCCACCTTCCTTTCTCAGCACTGACAGAAACAGACTTTTCCCACTGACCTTCTAAGTTGTCTTTGGCATTGGTGGATTGAGGAGTCTGGAAACCTCTACAGCTGCCCACAATTCATTTCTCTGAGGTCTGCTCCAGGTTCACTGAGGCCTGCGTGCCCATGCCACGCTGTGCTGTGCTCCCAGCACAGCTCGATACACCTTTCTGATCAATCATCCAGGTTGTCATGGGCTGGAAATTTGTTTCACTCTGTCTTTTTGTGAGTTCTGCTGCTTCAGAATTTGTTTAGAGCCATTTTTTATGAGTATTTGTAGGGGTTTGGAGGAGAACTCAAACAAGTCACTTCTTTCACTCTGCCATCTTGGCTCCACCCCCCTTCATGTTCCATTGTTGAGATAATTGTTCCTTTTTACCTTTTCCTCCTCAATTCTGTTTTTAGAATCATCCCATCACACACAACTCGATCCAATATTTATTTCAAACTATCCTAGTAATGATGACACTTTAAGAATACCAATAGCATTTTCATATATAAGATGTAAACAGTTTGACCTTAATAAGTCCCTTATAATTATGCTTTATATTTTTCTTATATTTCTTCTGGATCTTTTGTATCAAATTTTCCATTGAGTTCTAGTCTTTTTCTCACAAATATCTGAAAGTCTTTCAGTTAGTCAAATATATAATTTTTGGATATGGTATCGAAATACATAGCATGGAATATGTAGTATATAGTACAGTTATACTCAACTTTGCTGCATAAGTAGTTCTTGCTCAAAACCCCAGCACCTTTGCTCTTTGAAATATAATATTCCAAAACCTATGGTATTTCCATGTAGAAGCTGCTACATCTTGTGAGATCCTGATTGTGTCTCTACAGCATCTGAATTTCTTTTTCTTATTGTTTCTAATATGATCTCTTTAACCTGGGAGTTTTGAAATTTGACCATGACATTGTTGTAAGTTTCCCCCCCAGGCTCTCTTTTAGGTGGTGAACAGTGGATCATTTTCTCTTTCTACTTTTTAATTAGAGTAGGAAGTTGAAATATGTAGTAGTAATGATCGTACTAATGGTAGCAGTACTAGTAGTAGAAGTAATAGTAGTAGTAGCTATTGCTATTATAATAATAATTTCTGGTAACATTTATATAGCAGTTACAATGTGCTAGACACTGTACTAAATGCTTAACAATTATCAACTTATTTGATCCTCTCACAATACCTGGGAAGATAGATGCTATATTTATCCCCATTTTAAGCATAAAGGAACTGAAGCAAACAGAGGTAAAATGACTTTCCCAGACTCATACAGCCAGTAAATGTGTAAGTCTGGATTTTAAATCAGGTCTTTGTAATTCCACGTCCTAGCCTCTGTCCAAGTTGCCACCTCACATTGTGAGCAGTTAAGCTGCCAACGTAGTAGGATACATCTATGTGTTGAAGTATAAAACATGAGACTTTTAAGGAGCATAAAATGGCTTCTAACCAAGTGGTGGTGGATAATTACACACAAGTATAGGATAGAGGACCTACTAAAAAGAATCTTAAGATCTGGTGAGGAACACAAGACAGGACCCAATAAAGATGTCGGATAGAACACACAATATAAGATGCATATATAATTCAGGCTTAAATTGAATAATACAGACTGTAAGAACTAAAGAGGTCACAGGCATATGGCACCTAAATTGTGATTAGAAGGATGGGTGAGATTTCTGTCAGTGGAGCTAAAGTTAAGAAAAAAGAGGAAATATTCCAGCAACAGGGAATTTCTAGGGCAGTTTGAGGGAAAATAAATCATGATTTTGGCAAAAGGTAAAGGGAGTATTAGATTATGCTAGAAGAGTATTTTGGGCAGAAATCATAGAGGGCTTTCATTGGCAGGCAATGGAATGAATACATCTTGTTCATAGAACATGAAGAGACTCTAGAGCAGTTGAAACTAGGGCTGGTCCTTCACATATTTTAGGAAGGTAGAAAGCACAGCTCATAGGAAGGGGGTACTTTGACTAATCCACTGGCAATTGGGGTGATGTCGATATCTTTTGAGTCAATGGGAGATTTCAAGGTAAAATTTTGTAAGATGGTAGTAAAAAATAGAAATAATTCCATCCGAGCCAGACTCTCACCAGCACATATCCGTTTCCCTGAAAGAGACAAATGTAAGGATTTCATATTTGTAAACTTCTAAGTCATCTAGGCCACTTCTTTGGACTTACAGGTAGCCCACTAACACTCAGTGGCATTAGGTGAAGAATTGTGTGCATTCCTTTCCTCTCTGGTTCTTGACTCCTTTGAAGAGCCAAGACAGAGAGGATAAACCCCTCCTGTATGCTCTCTCTCGATCAATGTCCCTTAAGCCAGAGCAAGTACTGGGATTCATATTCAGAGGAAAGGAGTCATTGTCTTAGGGAGAAACAATCACTCAGTTATAGTCTCAAGGAATAACTTTGTGGGTACCCACAGTGACTGCAATGGGGAAACATGACAGAAGATGATCAAAGTTCCCCTTCAGAATCATCTCTCACCGTTCTGGACAGAAAACACCTCTAAAGTCTACCCCCACAGCTTCATGCCCATCCAGCCACTTCGCTTAACTACTCACTCCTAGCTCTAACCTAAGTATTAGAACCAACTGAACAGGGCATTGGAGACCACAGTGTCAAGGAGAGTTAGCTGCCTGCCAACATTCTTGTCTGCTAGCACCAGAATGGGCTATTGGTACCATTACCTAATAACCAATAGGTTCCCCCAAGAATTGAAAGTGAAAGGACAGATCATCAGTTATAATTCTGTACCAATAGATCCTCATTAAAATATACATACCTAGGGAAGAGGGTTCCATGCTCATGTGTCCTAGTAAGGAGTCACATTTCCATAAAATCATAAACTCTAAGATTAGAGCTTTAGTGACCCTAGCCATAATGGTACCTAAGTAATGGGCCTTAATATAACCCAATCCCATTCCTTGGCTTGATAAATTACAAGATTATACCATGCTAACATAAAAGCCTAGAAGACTTTACCTGAGAAGTAGCTCCTGGTTGACAGTGCCTGGAAGGATGGTTATTAATGTAGGGCGGAGTTTGTATTAGGTCTGGATGCAGAACACAGTGGCCACTATCTCAATTCTGCCTCTTTTTTGGAACAACTACTCTGAAACTCAACTGACTTGTTGATGAACCTGGGCCTAATGAGAATTAGAAGAATACTTTACTATGTCTTCAACCTACTACCTGGTCTTATAAATTGGAAGGACCATAATGGTCACATAGACCAACCGAGTTTTTTGGTATATAAGGTAAATGAAGTCCAGAGAAATGAAATAATTTGACTGAGATCACACAAGTAATAAGGTCCTCTCAGTTATCAACCCATCTTTAATGCACATAATTAGATGAATGTCTTACCTGTTGAAAAAGGCATGAAATAGTCACTCTTCTTAAAGTTGCCACTTCCATCCAGGAAGTGACCTGGGTCAAACTGGTCTGGATTAGGGAACTCCTTATCATCATATAAAACAGAAGACAGGAATGGTATGATGGTAGTTCCCTGAAATAAAGAGATACAAATAAATAATTAGAAAATAAGAACCATAGCATGTTGGAGCTGAAAGAGAATTTGAAACTATCACCTAGTCAAAACCCTGATTTTTAAGTATGGAAAGAGCCAATCTTTTTAAATACTTCTGCTGATAGTAAGTTAGAAAGTCTACAATACTATTGTGAGAGATGAAACTGAATTTTGACACTTGGAGAGCAGAACCAGTACTGATGAGTAAAATATGCAAGGAGGCAGCTTTCAGATTTAAAAAAAGTTAATAAAATAACTTTTGATCATTAGATCTATCAAAAGACAAAAGAGCTGCCTAGGTGGACAATAAGCACACCAATCATGAATAAGATCAAGCAGATTCCAGATGATCTGAAGAGACAGAAATTAATTGTGACCTTTTCAGGATGTTGAAGAATAACATAATGTCACACAGAAGAATAAGTCAAGAGCTGACAACCAACTTGGGAGCTCTTCTTGAAGATGAAGAAACAAGATGTTCTGAGGAAGAAGCATTTGCTTGTAGTCTCAAGAATGGTAAAGTAAGTTCACAGGTGCTATCAGGCAAGACATCCAGGAAGAAGAAAAGAATAATGGTTGGTGACTCCCTGTAGGATAATGAAACAGTTGTTTGCTGACAACAACTAAAATGGATAGTTCTGGGGCAGCTAGGTGTCACAGTGGAAAGAGCACTGGCCCTGAGGTCAGGAGGACCTGAGTTCAAATCCGGCCTCAGACATATAACACTTACTAGCTGTGTGACCCTGGACAAGTCACTTAACCTCATTGCTTCACAAAAAAAAAAATTAGTTAGTTCTGCCATATTCCAAGAGCATATGTCCAAGAGATAGTGGAGAACCTTACAAAACAAAGGGGACAACTACTACCCATCTGGTGATTCACATGAGCAAAAATGATACTACCATAAGGAATCTGGGAAGCATCTCCAAAGGTTTTGACACTAAGGAAAAAAACCTAAAGACTTTAGGAGCACAGGTGGTGTATTCATTATGGTTGTAATTGGAAACAAAAGATTCAGAAAGGAAAGGCAGATTTCAGAAGTGGACATCTTGTAAGAGGGTGTTTAAAAATGTGATTTTGATTTCTGGACCACATATTAATAAAAATATCGACATGATGAACTCCTGAACAGGAGTGGAATGATGCATCTAGCAAAGGCTGGAAAGATGATTATTTTGATTTAATATAAATATAGTCAAAGGATTTTTTGATGCTTAAAGTGCTGTTAAAAAAAAATGATTGGAGATTTTAAGACAAGGAAGCAAATTTCACCTCAAAGGTACAGATAGGGTTTGGTATGATGAGATGCTTAAGAAGGCTGAAGTCCTGAAAAGAGTATAACTTATTCAAAAGAAAGAGGATAGGAAAAAGAGAGTGGGGTAGTATATATTAAGAAGAAACACTCCTCTGAGGCTATTTAGCAAGAGAGGAAAGAAGAATGATGAGAAGCCTCTAGGTGAAGAGAAATGGAGGCAACAACAAAACTGACATTGCCATTAGAATATGCTACAGACCATTTGGACAGAAAGAAAACTAGACAAGGAATACAGAAAACAAATTATAACCTCTAGAGGTTAGACATGGTATAACAGTGATAGAAGCCTTCAATTATCCATTCGGATCCTTGAGTTTCACTTCTGTCAAAAACAGAGCTGTTTGTAATTCCACGACTTTTCTTAATGATAGTTTCATCCTGCAGTTATGGTGGAACCAGTTCTTACCCGCTGAAAGGAACTTGGATAACAAAGATGGCTCAGATCCCCTGAGGCACAGCATTCTTCCTCTGGAGGGATCATGCTGTGTTGCAGGATTTGCAATCACACTTACACTTTCAGTGCACATTATGGATGTAATAAGGGGAATTTTTGGGAAAGTGACCAACCATCTTAGAGTTTATGCAGATCAACTAAGTGGCCAATGGGAAGTACAATGGTTGGAGTCAGAAGGAACTGATCAGGCCTCAAACACTCACAGCTATGTGACCCTGGCCAATAATACTCTCCTAGATCAGTTTCCTTATTTGAAAATGAGAATGATAATAGCACCTACAGTTCAGCATTGTTATCAGGATGAAAAGGGATAATATTTGTAAATTATTTCACAAACCTTAATGCTAGCTATTATTATTATCACCAGAAAGACAAGAGTTAAGTTTCTCAAGACACAAAGAAAAAGAATTCTGGTGGTGGAAGAAAAAGAACATTCTCTAAAGATACCAATGTGGATAAGGTAGCCAGGTGGTTCAGTGAGGAGACTGCTAGATGAAGTCAGGAAAACCTTCAGACAAATCCTGACTCATACATTTATTCAATGCATGACCCTAGGTGAACCAGGTGGTTTTTAAGAGTTAGTTTACTCACTTGTAAAATGGGGATAATTATAGCATGTATTCCCATGGAGTTGTTTTAAAGAGTAAATAAGCTTATTTATGCAAAGTAAACTTCAAAGTACTTTATAAACAATAGTTATAATTATTATAGAGAATTCACCAATCAACTTAGATTTTTCAAGGACAAGGATGAGTAAAAGGACTGTCACAGTTCCATAAAAGTGACAGAAGTGATAAAGCCCAAAATGCACAGAGCTGGTGTGGCAAACAGAGCACAAGAAGAGATTTTTTAAACTATGTTGTGAAAAAGAGGAGGATTAAAGAAAGGATAAACCCAAAACCCAGAGGCTTAAAGGACAAGGATGACAAGTGAAAAGAAAAGATGCAGAACTTCTCCATTTTTCTTTTGCTTCTGTTTTTTTTTCTGACCGAGAGAATGCTCTTTCAACTGAAAAGGATACAATAAATAAATAGATACAGCTAACAGTGATTGAATACCCCAGGGAAGTAAGGAGAAAATTAGGGAGCATCTAGACACCTTAGCAAGAAAAATAAAGTGAAAAAAAGTGCACTTCAATGCACTCAGAGTCTAGAACATATTTCTAAAGAGATCATGATCTGGTTAAGGAAGGAATGAGGCTATGACTTGAGACAAGGAGGTAGTGGTCACAAGGATCTGGAGTGGAATCATCATTATTTCTTTTTTTGAGGATATTAATAAACTGGTAGATCAGCAGAATGCCGTATACAGGTGTTTCTTCAATTTTAGCAAAACATTTGATAAAGATTTTCATGCTCTTCCTCTGAAAATGATGGAAATATACAGGTTTGACTATCACACAGTTAGGTGGATTGAAAACTGATGACTGACCATATACAAAGAACAATTATTGAAGGTTCAAAGACAGCTTGGAAGTAGTACTGTGGTCTCCTCAGCTCATAAATGAGATTGTATTCCTTCTGTGAGTCACATCTTAAGAGGACGCTGAAGAGCTGGAGGCTACTGAAGGGAGGGCAACCAGAATGGTAAGAATAACAAGTCCATGCCACGTGAGGATAGGTTGAAGGAAATGGGGATATTTAGACAAGCAAACAGAAGACATAATAGAACAGGGAACATAATAACTCATCCCAAGTGTTTTATGGACTTTTACCAGAAAGAGAGAGTAACTTTGTTCTGTTTTGGTCTGGGGCACAAAACCAAAGAGCAATAGGTTAAAGTTACAAAACTGCAAATTTAGGCTTAATACAAGAAAAAACTAATTCCCTCTAATTAGGGCTGTCCAAGATTAGAATAGAATTTCACAGCAACAAAGTGGTTCCACCTCATTGAAAGTCTTTAAGCAAAGATTGGATTACCATCAAGTGAGCATACTGTAGATGGAATTCTTTTTCAGAGAGGGAATGGACACTATAACCACTGAAATTCTTTCAAATTCTGAAATTCTGGGACCACTTCTCAGAAATGTGGGTTGCCCTGAGGTTCCTTCTTACTCCAAGATTCTAGATTTCAATGAGAGGCATTATAAAATCTTGTGTTACAGTGAAAACCCTTCTGACCTTGGGGATAAGATATTTTCTAAATTGAACATCTTCTGTTGCCGCATGGGGCACGTTGGTGGGAATGAGGTCAATGTATCGCTGTATCTCATGTATCACAGCATTGGTGTAAGGCATCTTACTTCTGTCCTCCATGCAGGGACTTCGATCTCGGCCAATCACACGATCAATTTCTTCATGAAGTTTTCCTGTCAAAATACATATGAAAATTGATTTTAAATCTAGAGATAAAAACTGCCTTTGCTCATATTTTCTCTGATTTTTCACCAAGACCTACACTAGTAAATAATACTTGATATTTATTTCAAGAGATAAAAATTCCATTTTAGTCTCTTAAGCTAGCTGAGCATCCCTTAAGGCACCTATGTCCAATGCCCATAAGAAAAGGTCAGGTGTCCTTCAAAGAATAAAGACCAAGGAGCACTTGATTAGGGAAATGAGGAGGATTCTCAGTCTGGACCTGCTCTACAACTTAATGTGACCAACCATATGCCCAAGGTACTTCCCTCTCTGGCTGTAGAGTGACAGGAATCCAGAGGCACCAGCTCCTTGATGGTCAGGCAGGATCAAGAAGCTATCAGGAACTAGTGCCTCTCATTTATTCAGTTCCTCCCAGTTCTGTCACTGGGCTCCAGTGTCTATTCATTTCACTATCTATGTGGCTACCTCTACCAATAACTCACAATTATATACCACTTAACCAATCAAGTGGAGGTAGTAGTGGAGAAGGAGGAATAAGTAAACTTGAACATGTAATGACTTAAATATATTAAAACGACAATAAAAATGTTTCCATGGAAAGTCTCAAAAGGACCAGGAACCCCTCTCATGCAGATTAAATCATATGTATTATTATCCTTTATCCCACCTTCTATCTCAGGGTATTTCAGGAGAAGCAGGAGTCCATATCTCAGGGTGGTGCTTGTTGTCTCTGTTCCTGCACCAAATAGATCACGTACAGTACGGGCCAAGTTGTCAATGTTAAATTCAGACTGTGGTTGTTGCTTTTCCTAGGAATAATTTGGTATGATTAATGGAAAAGTAAGGTAGGCAGCAGTGCACAAGGGAAAGCATGATGGATTTGGAGGTAGAGGACCTTGGTTTAAATGTCAGTTCTGATATTTTTTTTTTTATTTTAAGGGGAAGGCAATCAGGGTTAAATGACTTGGCCAGGGGCACATAGCTAGTTAAGTGTCTGCAGCCAGATTTGAACTCAGATGCTATTAACTTCAGGGCCAGTGCTCTATCCACTGTGCCAACCTAGTTGCCCCCAACACAACACCAGGTCTGATCTTGACCTTGGGCAAGTCATTTAACTATTCTATGTTTCAGTTTCCTCTGTGAAATGAGGGAGTTGGATTTAATTACCTCCAAGATCCATTTCAGTCCTAAATCTATGACCCTGTAAACAAATTAAATTTGAGCAGCACAATCCAAAGTGGAACAAGAAGCTGGCAATTATCAAAGCATTTTGGCCCTTGCAGATATGACATATGGGAGAGACACAGAGAGAAGAAAGATACATGGCAAGGTATGGGGAGATATATACAGACAGACAGACAGAAAGAGACTAGACCTGCAATTTCATTGGCACAGGTGTCTTCCAGGTAAAAAAAAAAATCTGTCTGCTAATGCAAGTCTGTACTTCCTCTGAAAAACTTAGTTTCAAGAGAGTTGCCTAGCCCTAGGGCACTAAAGAGTTAAGTGATTTCCCCAGGATCACACAGACATTTTGTGTCAGACAGGGGACTTGAACTCAGTTTTGCCTGGCTCTGAGGGCAGCTCTTTATCTGCTACATCAGGGGGTCAAATTCTCAGCCCTCATGCCTCAAGCCACCAACAAAACTGTGTGTTGCTAAAACCACATTAAAATGTAATTGGGAAATATTTAGTAAAAATAAATATACAACATAGAGAATGTTAATTTCTGCATTTTCTAAGTTAATATGAGGCCAACCAGGATCCATTTCTATTCATGTTTGATATAACTCTACTGTATCATTCTATCTTGCAAGATATCTGTACCTATATAACATATATCAATTATATCTGTGGGTATACTCAAGCAGCTAGGTGGTGCAGTGGGCTGAGTTTAAATCAGGCTTAACTGCTTGTGTAATACTGGACAAATCACCTAACCTTGTTTTTCTCAGTTTCCTCATCTGTAAAATGAGCTAGAAATGGAAAACCACTCCAGTATCTTTGCCAAGAAAACCCAATATGGAGTCACGAAGCATTGGACTCAACTGAAATGACTAAGCAATAAATGCACAACTACTGTACACACGTAAGCTCTTGTATTTTCTTCCGGATTACATTCTGTTATTGTATGAGTTTAGTGAGATGAACAGGATTTATTAGTTTAGCAAATAAGGAAGGAAAATAATTATCAACTTCCATCTATATAACAATTAATGCAAAAAAATTAATCTATGTATAAATTTCCCATTTGATCCTCATCAAAATGCTGTGATACAGTTAGTGCATTATCATTCTCATTTTACTACTGAGGAAACTGAGATGCTAAATGCTTTGCCCTTGACAATGAGATGTTGATATTGAGGAAAAGTCACCACTGAGGTAAGAAATTGAATATATAAGAAATACCCAATGGACTAAAGATTAAAAAAAGGTAAAAACATAGGAAAAGTACGCAGGTACTAGGGGGCATAATTCAAGTTCCAGTCGACTAAGGTCTATGCCCACTGCGGGTGGTGGCGGGGGCGGGGCGGGAAGGATATAGAATTCTGAAGGCACTTAAACGTGAAACACGCAAGAGACTACTATACATAATAGTTCTAAAAATCTCTTGCTTTAGTCTACATATTTGCCCTCTCCCACATTCCCTCATCTACCAATGGGGTAGGAATCTGTGGGAGAATATATCCTTATGTGCATAGGTTGATGAAGGAATGATTTTCCTGGCCACTTATGTTGACACATTGCTAAATTAAATGTTTTTGAATTAATGTGTTTTCTGGTTCATCTGGTAAGAAAACCATAAGTGATGACCTCAGAGTACACTCCGTTGCTGTAACTGGGTCATTGATCCATTTCAGCATTCTATCAGTGTATGTTTTAACTTCTCCCATGTTCATTTACTCCATATGAATTACATTAGCATATTGCTTTATTCTAGTTTTGCTTCTAATTTGGTGGATTTTTTTCTTTATGCAACTTTTCAATGATTTCTCTTTCTTTTTGTTTTACTCTTTCTTCTTTGTGAAATGGTGGGCAAGTGAAGAGCTTCTAAGTCCACTACCTTGACTGTAAAACCCACCAACCTCCCCCCTAGTACTGACCACAGCAGCCCTTCCATTCCAATTAAGCTGCTCAGATTAAAGTTCCCTATTCCCCACTGTCTTTGTAGACTCCTGAAATGTCCTGCCCAGTCCTCACTGCCTAGCTCTAGGACCTTCTTCAAGAGCCAGATTAAAACCTAACTCTTCCAGAAGGAAGTCTTATGTTAACCCGCTCCAAATATTATATTTCTTGCTCATTCCAAATTCCTTCATCACTTAAATCCTCAATTTATAATCTATTTTGGCTTTCCTTACACATTCCTGATAATTATTCTTGTCCTTACATGGGCTTTCTCCTGTCTGTTGGGTTAGAAATTCCATTAGGGCTAGGACGCTGTCTTCTCGTTCTTCTCATACAGCGCTCTGGGGAAAATCATGATTAAAATATGATCATTTACTGCTCTATATTTGTGAAGGTGAATGTCAGTCTTTAATATACAAGCCATTTCACCTACAAGAACTGAGATTCAGACCTACTGCTCACACTCTACCTGCTCCATTTTCATCAGGAAACAATCAATGAAGTCCCGAGGGTTGCTGGGATCAAGTGATCTTTGGTGCTCCTTCACTTCTTCCAAAATAAATTCATGTATTAAGTGAATATTTTTAACTACTTTGTGATGAGATCCAGGGAGATAACATACTAAAGATGGAAAAGAATTGCAGACCTAAAAAGAAGAATTTTATATCATACTTTATTAGAAAAAGAAAATACTTTTCTATTCTAGCACTGGGATCATGTTGAGAATAGGGCTGAGTAAGTGTGGGACAAGTGCCTTTGTAAAATAGTGACTTTTCTCATCATTTCCCATACAAACTCCCTAAAAATTAGCATTCTGTTCCTTGGTTGCCTGAAACTACCTTGGCTTTCACTCTCAATTCTTACTTCCGACAGAAAAGTTCTCATCCTTTCTCATTATGAGGTCTTCTAAGAGCTCAGCCTCCCACCTTCCATTGGGACAGCTAACTCATCTGCTAACTTGATCCAAACTTGGGTGCACAAGGGAAAAGTCAGCTTGTCTCTAGTAACATGAATTTTAACATTCAGTCCCTGTGACCAGTGGGTGAACTACTCCAGTGAGGGGCCTTATAATGTACCTCAAATCAGACCACATAGGTTGCCCTTTTCTGTCTTTAGTCCCTGTCAATGAAGAAGAAAATGGGAACCCATTCCAACATGGCACTATTGTACCTCCCATGGAATGAATGATGAACTCTAGCCTATATGCTTGTAGTAGTTTCTTTGAAGTAATTTTTAAAAAAATATTCTGAACTCCATACAGAGAGAACAGTGGTCTCACCTTCATCCATGGGGAACTTACGATCTTGACGTTTTCATTCAAAAGCTTCATTAAATATAGAAATTTCTGGTCTTTATATTCAAAACATTTCTGGAAAATGATAGAGCAGATTACATTGCAAGGAGCACATCCAAGGATGAATGTGGGGTCACATGGTAATCCTAAAGGAGAAAGAGAGAGAGAAAGACTTTAATACTGCTGTTGTGATCAAAAGAAAGATTTGCCTGCCTTTAGGTAGGACCTGACTGTCCTCCTTTTCCCTCTAGTTTACAATGTAGCTGATGTGTATTTGGCACAGCAAGGTTGAAAAAAACCACCCTTTATGAAGCATCTGATTTCATCCACATGAGAATCCTAAGTGCAAATAGGATAATTCCCATCTATAGATGAGGTTGATGAGGCTCAAGAAAATCAGCTGATTTATGTGCCACAACTAGGAAGGATAAAGACATGGAATGCAACCCAAATTCTCTCCTGTCCCAGGTACACTGTTCTTCCTACCATACAGCATCCCTTCCCATTTCTAAATCCATATTCATCACCTCACCTTAAGCAACTTTTACTTTCAGACTTCTTCATGTCTATTTTTAAATTATATTTCATTTTATTTCAATCACTTTTCCCAGAATTGGGGTTGCAGGCACTGGTCTGGAAGCCTTGCTATTCCAAATGCTCTTAGGTTCAGGGTTCTGGGTTTTCAAAAAGTTCATAATGTCAAGGTGGTGATTCTAGGTTTCCTTGACTGACCTCTCGTCTCTTCCTCAGGTGCCTCACTGCTTTAGCCAGGCTGGCCCATCTGCCTTATGAATAGCAATTGGCTGGCAGCTGGTGGCAATGGCCAGTCCCTTTTCCACAGGAGTTGCTTCCTCAGATGAAAGCTGTGAGCGCTGGACCAGGACCAGTGGTCTAGAGCTTGCTGCCACCCCTGTGGCCCTCATACTTGTGTTCCTATTGGTAGCAGCTGGTCACCAGTTGTTGCTAGTGGTAAAAGACAGAGGGCCCCTTCTCCACAAGGTAGCTGATGTGTGACACTGGTTTTGCTGTTTCCCCGACTCTTGGGTTTGGAGGTCCTGAGCTGCCTCCATCAGGGTCAGAGGGGAGATTGTGGTTG